GTGCGCATTTGTCGGGTCACGCTTTCCCAGCATTCGGCTCTTCTCAAGGGAGTCCTTCCTTCTCATTAGGTGGCCAAAGTCTTTGAGTTTCCTCTTCAGGATCTGGCCTTCTAAAGAGCAGTCATGGTTGATCTCTAGGACTGACTGGTTGGATGGCCTTGAAGTCCAAGGGACTCGCAGGGGTCTTCTCCAGCACCAGAGTTCAAAGGCCTCCATTCTTTGGCGCTCAGCCTTCCTTATGGTCCAACTTTCACAGCCATCCATTGCAACTGGGAAAACCATAGCCTTGACTTTACGCACTTTTGTTGGCAGAGGGATGTCTCTGCTTTTTAGTACGCTGTCTAGATCTGCCATAGCTTTCCTCTGCAGGAGCAAGCGTCTTTTAATTTCTTGGCTGCCGTCCCCATCTGCGGTGATCTTGGAGCCCAAGATAGATGTTAGACACAACCATCTTTCCTAGCAATGGATTAAAATGTAATCCGTTTGATCAGGAGTTATTGGTGAGAATGAAGGTGGAGTTGGTTTTAAGGGGTCTGTCTCATTTGACTAGGGTTGTGTTGTCTATAAAATTTAAAAGCTTGACCAGAAATTCAGATTGTAATAAGTATTCATTTATTGAATCTTTTGGGGGGGGCAGAACCCAAAATTTCTGTTGATAAGCAAGGCAGTTGTTCAGGGCGTTTTCTTCATTTTGTGACCATTCTTGCTGCAGTTGTTCACTGAATCCTCCACAGTTGTTACGTTAGTAACACGGTTGTTAGGGCTTTCCCTTTGGACTTTGCTTGTCGGAATGTCACAAAAGGGGATCACATGACACGGTCATAAATATGAGTCAGTTGCCAAGTGTCTGAAGTTTGATCCTGAGACCAGGGGAGGCTGCAGTGGTCGAAAGCGTGAAGAAAACTTTTTTTCCAGTGGCGTGCTTTTGAACGGTTACTTACAATGAGTTGTAAATTGGGGACTATGTGTAGAGAGTGTCTGGCTAAGTAATATATATAAATGCCTCCCTGGACAAGAAATTGATGTCTTACTCATCTCCTTGGTGTTTCTTTTTTTGATCCCTGCATGGACCAAGAATAGAGTCGGGAATGTGGGATCCTTAACTCTCTCTCTCTCTCTCTGGCCTTGGTTATTTTCTTGCAGGCATTTCATTACCAAACTAGGGAACATCATCAGTGCTACAAGGAAGTTGGAGAAAATTGGGAATATTAGAATGTGATGCCATTCTTCTTTAGTGGTCACTTTATATCAATATTACTGAATATATGTTGTTCAACTATAGCAGTGATAGGCTTGTCAGGGCTGCTCTCCGGAAAAGGCAAAACTTCTGGGTTCTAGCACGCATGCGCGCCCAGCTATCAGCTAGCTGGCGCTCATGTGCAGGACGGTTTTCAGTATTGCTGCATGTGAGAAATGATCGCGCTCCAGAAAAGCTGAACTTCTAGCAGGCATGCGCGCCCAACCATCAGTTGGCCGGCGCGCTTGCGTGAGGCAGTGTTCAGCATTGCCACACGCGAGAAGCAATTGTCTCCAGAAATCTGAACTTCTAGGTTCTGTGGGTGCATGCTTGCCCGACAATCAGCTGGGCTGTTTTTGGCAGTGTCGCGTGCACGAAAACAGCTGATTGTCGTGCGCGAATGCGTGCCAGAAACCCAGAGGACAAACAGGCAAGGCCATGTGTGCTAGGCAACATGGCTCTCGCATGCCACTTTGGGCACGCGTGCCATAGGTTTGCCATCACGGAACTATAGGGTTGTTGAGTTTCCGAATGGTGCTTAGAGAATCCCCAAAAACCCCAATACTTGATTTATCAGGCTTATTTGCTGCTTTACTTATAATTGACTCTAAGCAGGATCAGTGTCACTTATATTTGATTAGATCTACCTAAGATTGTCCCAGGTGTTGGGTTGCCAAAGGAAAAAAAGGCTGGAAAAGTTTCAATTGATGACACCTTAGGTAGGAAAAAATGAAGTTAATGGGTGGAGGTGGAGATAAAAAAAATAAGAAAGTAAAATAAGATTTAGTTGTAGAAGATTAAGTTGTAGAAGAAGCTTTGGGATCAGAAAAAAAAAACAAATGAAAAAGAAAAAAAACGGGGAAGACTATTTAAGAAAGAAAATTGTTAGTCTAGAAGAGAAATCTCTCTCTACTATTTTTATTATTTGGCTGGGTTGATCCTACACGCTAAAGTCCTAAAACCGTTAGCACAACAATTGCTGTTTTTCTCTCATAACACGCTCCATCCAGACAAATAAGCTTTTATTCAGCTTGATTAATAAGCTTATATTCCGCTTGATTCGTACATGCCAAGATCATGATTGGAATCCTACCACGATCAACAAACTACATAATGCTATTTTAACCTAAATTAGTATGTGATAAAAACCATCTCACAAATAGCCAATCAGTGAAAGTTTCACGCATTGAAAAAAATTGACATATTTCTGTATCTGTAATAATGGTCATATTTAAATGCATTGTTGACCTGCACTTATAACATTAATGGAAATCGGTGGTGAGATGTATTTGGTATTTTCTATGACTGCCGTTTTTTTTCCCTTTGCATTTATAATCTAGCTTGATAGAAGAATCATTAAGTTATTGAAACCTTGAACACTTGTTTTATGGGCCCATTAAAACTATTGCTCTCCTGTAGAAAATGATTTTTGTTCCTTTTAAGTGTCCTCCCCAGATGCCATCATAACAGCGAATGAATGCCAAGTAAAAACAGTAAACTCTAATGTAATTACATTTCTCTGTCTCTCTCCTTGAAGTGGTGAAATTGTTACTTTGAGGACAACTGTATTTCTGTCTGGCAATACATTGGTTTTGTGTTCCTCGAAATTGTCTTATTCCATATAAGATGCAATTTATCCAAAGCAAACAGAATTTGTTTACTGCTTTTACTTGTGTTCTAAGAATTCCAATGCTTTCTTATAATGGAGAGAAAGACTAATGATATCATTCTTCCAATATCTGAGTGGTTACCACCAAGAAGAAGGGGTCAACCTATTTTCCAAAGCACCTGAAGGCAGGACAAGAAACAATAGATGGGAACTAATCAAGGAGAGAAAACCAACCCTAGAAAGAAGCAGAAATTCCCTGACAATTAGAACAATTAATGACTTGCCTCCAGAAGTTATGGGTGCTTCAACACTGGAGGTTTTAAAGAAGGGATTGGACAACCATTTATCTGAAATGTGTTTGAATATTAGTAGCCCGGGTTGGTAGTTAGGCTGTTGGTTTGAGCGCCAAGATTGACAATTTGGTTACAAACATTTCATCACCGTTTGAGGAGACATTATCAGTGCGTTTTGAGTTGTGCTCATCTGTCAAAACACAGGTCTTTATATACCTTTTTATGGGATGCAATTTAGTCTGAATGTTGTTTGAATATTTCTGAGTCTTAAGATATTTGAGTCAACAAACAACATTCAGACTAATCTGCATCTCATAAAAAGATAACTAAAGACTGATAGACAAACAACTCAAAACGCACTGACAAGGTCTCCTCGAATGGTGACGAAATGTTTGCAACCAAATTGCCAAGCTTGGAGCTCAAACTAACAGCCTAAGCATTTACCTAAAATGATATAGTATTTCTTACCTTGAGTAGGTTGGGCTGGAAAACCTGCAAGGTCTCTTCCAACTCTCTTATTCTGATCTTTGTTTTTGTTTTTTCCCCATTGTCCTTTTTAATTTTATGGATTTCTTCCTCTTTCAACCTTCTTACCTTATTCTTAATAAGGAAAAGAGCTGAGTTCATCTTAATTTCTCCTATCCTTAGAGCACTCTAAGCTTATATTCCTTAGAAGTGGGTAGAAGTAACCAATCAAACTGTTTTGGTAACTTGTACCATACTCTTTTCCTGTGTAATCTTTTCTTTGTGATGAAGGCTAATAATTTCTAGTTTCCAATTACGAGCACTTGGATAAAATACGTTTTCATATTTACACTCAGTTTTTCTGCATGCTGTTGCTTTTTTTTTTTTTTAACTCTTAGGTTTTAAACTGTTACAAGCTTAAATTATAGGTCATGCAAAATGCTATTTATATGTCTGGAAACTTAATTTGAAGCTTCTTATATTTTCCCACTACTGCTTATCCTCATCTGGGTTTGAACAAATTGGCAAATGTCATTATTCCTGTTGGAGCTATTACTGTTTTTCAGCTCTTACTAAAATAGCTGTATGCTATACAAAACATATTTATGAAGTGCCACTTGTGTGTTACAATAGCTCAGCATTGTTGGCCCTTAACAATTGTATAAATCTAACAGCACTGGCTTTACCGCTAACAGTGTTGATGAATTGCCGACTACATATACTTCAGCCCGTTTCTGATTTAAAGCCGTATCTCTTCTGTTACCTGCTCTAAATTTAAATCAGTAAATTTAAATCAGCCAGTAGTAAAAATGAAGCATTTATTCCTGGATCTTACAAGAGCCAGTTTGGTGCGGTTATTAAGCTGCTATTTTAGATACCAGGAGATTATGAGTTCTAGTCTTATCTTGGCATGAAAGCTCTCTGGCTGACTTTGGGTCAGTCACCAGGGGATGGTGAGTTCTAGTCCTACCTTAGGCAGGGAAGCCAGCTGTGTGATTTTGGGCCTAGGAGACGGTGAATTCTAGTCCCACCTCAAGCATGAAAACCAACTAGGTGTCTTTGTGCTAGTTACTCTCTCTCAGATTAGTAAATCTCTTACATTTTCATTCAGGCTTTGAAGTAAATTCATTTTCTGCCTTCCTATTAATGATTGACATTTTCCATGGCTGGGATGAGAAGTCTAATGTTAACTTTGGTCTAGATCTGTAACTCATTCACCCGTTTTCTCCTTTCTGTGGTTAATTATCAATAACTAGTTTTAAGGCGTAGTCTGAGGGGAATGGAACAAATTGATGCAGTTTAAAACCTTGGGATCTCAGCATCCAACATTATTATCCCTGGATCAGTTGGAAGACAAGCAGGAAGTGGAAAGCCACTTTTGAAACTGTACGAAAGAAAACTGTTTTCTTTAGTTGTTAAAAGAAGAACCCAAATCCATAATTTCAAAAGCTAATAATGACTAAAGTTATAAAAAAAACTATGTATACATTAGTTCTTTTTTAAAAATTGGGAGTCTTATTATTCATAAGATACTGGTATCTTAGGGAATGGAGAGGTGTGTTAAAATGAGGCTCTTTGGGAAGTGCTAAGAACTTTATAAATGGAAAATTGGGCTGCATCAGACAATTCCTGCTCTCTGTTGTCTATTGAATGATTATTATCTAATGTACAGCTCTGATTAAAACAGCATTTTGCAATTACTGGATTGTTATTAGTCTGAATTTCTAATAAACTTAACTGAAGTTCTGGTTTTTTTCTTCCCCCTTTAAATAGGTACCTGTCAGATGAAGGGATTGAGGCTTGCACAAACTCATCTGAAAAAGTCAACATCAATGATATTATCCTGATTGCACTTAATGTAGGTACAATTTGCAAAATTTTAAAATGTATACTTAAGTCGGGTCCTGTGGTCATTGGTTAGTTAGATTTTTAAAAACACTAACTAGCTCTAAAAATGAAAATGTTCTACGATGGTTATTTTGTTTTTCCTTTGACAAATATTGATTACCCTTCTGTTTTGTGTTGTTCAAATTTACACCTGGTCAGTCATGTATTGTTTGTGATTAAATATAAAGCTATATTAAGTGAAGATATATTTTTAGAGAGGGAGGCAGGCAATCAATCAATCAGAATAGAGCTGGAAGAGACATTGGAAGTCTTTTAGTCTAACCTCCTGCTCAAGCAGAAGATCCTATACCATTTCAGACAAGTGACTGTCCAGTCTCTTAAAAACCTCTAGGAAGAAAGGGAGGGAGGGAGAATAGGAAGAATAGAAAGGGAACAATAAGGGAGAGGAAAACGGGAAGGAAAGGAGGGAGGAAGAATGAATAGGAAGGGAGCTATATAGAAGAAGAAGGAAGGAAGGAAGGAAGGAAGGAAGGAAGGAAGGAAGGAAGGAAGCGAGCTATACAGAAGAAGGAAGGATGGACAGCCCAAATCTGATTTCTGTTTAGAATTTCTTTAGAAGTGTATATTAAAATTTTGCTTCATCTTGCTAAAGGACAAAGCTCAAGGTATATGTCAGTGTACTTTATTTTTCTTCCTGTGTTTAGTAGGATACAAATAATAGTCAGTTAGATTGCAAGGTGATTTCTAGATTACATATTACAATTTGCCTAGAATGTCAATAATATTAGGATAAAATTGGTTTAAATTGTTCATGTCAAAACTGCTACCATCTTTATTATTAAGGAGGGTACCTGTAGAATGAGGGCAGCTAAGGATAACATACACAGTCCTCACTTTCTCTACTTATTAAAACATTTTATGGAAGCTTTGATTGTCCAAAACCATAACAGATCACAGGAGACAATATCTTTGGGGCCATCTGGTGACATTCTTGATATCTGGAAGATTTGAATGTTGTCCGTAAGAGGAGTAAATGATTTTTTTAAAAAAGCAAATGACAAGGAAAAGAGAAAAGTAGAAACTTTTTTTTTGGTAAATTCTGTGAAGAGAAACAGACGTATGTAATAGAGCAGAATAAAAGATCTGCAGTGGATTTTATTGAGACGTAATAAAGTGGTGATTTAATTATAATTAAATCCATTCTTATACTGAAGTGGCAGACGAATGAATATCCGTTTAAAAGCACGAGTGGTTTGATTGCTTATGAAGAATATAGGAATTACAAGGATGATAAGTTCAGAATGTGAAACACTATTCTTTGATAGTGTCAGAAGTGGAGGGAAATAGACAATGAAGGCAAAGAAAGAAGCTTATTGCTTTAAAAAAAAATAAAAGCCTAGTCTAAAGTAGAATTTTGCAAGAGGAGAAAGTATAAGTTCCTATTTGAAAAAAAAGTCACAAGATAGATTTCCAAATGGCAAGTGGTAAAACATACAATGATATGAAAACTGGTAGAACACACAGTAAAATAACCGATGATAGGTTGAAACAAACAAAATGTTAAAAAGTTAGGATATTTATATAGTTACTTACTGAGCACATCTAAATTATTATTAAAGTAAACCAAAATATCTTTACAATCCCCAAGACATGTCACAACTTTTGACCACCCCTTATTGTTTGGAAATTGAAAGTTGAAAAATTTGACAGGCCCAAATTAATTGTGTATGTAAGTAAAAACTGAAGTTTTCATGATAAAAGAACCGCACCTACTGTTTATATTTTCTATTTTCATGTTACTAGCCGTTGCACATCCCAAGTATTGTGTTACCTAGTAATTTCTGAATGTTTTTCTTTTAAAAAAAGGTTTAACACTAAAAACTACAGAATAAAAGTACTGTAACCAAAAAAAAAAAAGTTTAAATTTTTAAAAATGATCTGTATGCTCAAAACACTTGCAATTTTCTGTCCAGCGTGATGCTTACATGGTTGAAAGTGATCTGTTAGGGAAAAAATAATAATTCATTAAACATTGACCAAGTTTGAATCCATTTTCTTCTTCTTCATTATTGAGTTTTTCAAAACTCTTCATTGTCAATGTTTTCATCTAGTAAGATTTCCTAAACTCTTAAAAACCATGCATCTCGTGAAAAATGTGTTTTTAATTGGGGACTGCTTTGCAATAAGAAATTCGCAGCTAATGGGATGAACTGAACCTATTTCTGGTGATGCATTGATTTATATGTCTTTAGAGATAAGGCAATAAACCAAGACCTTCCTGGTTTACAGATTCAAATTTGATCTGTTAAGTTTAGCCGAAGATTTATTTTCATGTTTTTTTTACTATTATAATGCGAGTTCCTTCAATACTTCTTTGCCTATTTTTGAAGGGCGCAGAGGAAATATCCATTATTCAAAGCATATTTTCATCCAGAGATCCTTAAAACCTTCAACATTGTTTACTGTCTTGTTTTGACAGGCGAAATGAGGGGGATAGATATTTATTAACTTACTTGTCACTATGTGGAAAATTAAAAGAGGAGAAGAGCGGTATCCTAAGATCCTTTCAAATCCTTTAATAATATTATTCTTCAGTTCAGAATTGTGTGAGGAGTTCTGTCCAATAGATTTCCTCCTCATTTCTCGCTGACCATCTTCCCTTGTTCTTCCTAAAATGTTCTCCCAGTTTGTCGCAGGAAACTTTTCTTTGCAGTGGGTTTGCTTCTTTCTAATGCTGAAATTAGAAGATGCTTAAAAAGATGTTGAGACTCTAGAAAAAGTGTAGAGAAGAGCAACCAAGAGGATTAGGGGACTGGAGGTTAAAACATACGATGCCCGGTTGCAGGAACTGGCCATGGCTAGTCTAGTGAAGAGAAAGACCAGGGGAGACAGGATAGCAGTCTTTCAATATTTGAGGGGCTGCCACAGAGAGGAGGGGGTCAACCTGTTTTCCAAAATACCTGAAGGCCAGACAAGGAATAGTGGATGGAAACTGAACAAGGAGAGATTCAACCTAGAAATAAGGAGAAATTTCCCGACAGTGAGAACAACCAACCCATGGAACAGAAGTTGCCTTCGGAAGTTGTGGGAGCTTCTTCACTGGAAGCTTTCAAGAAGAGACTGGACTGCCATCTGTCAGAAATGGTGTAGGGTCTCCTGCTTGGGTGGGGTGGGGGTGTTGACTAGATGACCTACAAGATCCCTTCCAACTCTGTTAATCTTCCTGATTCATGAGGTTACAAAGATCTTGGTTTATCAACCAGCTTATTGCAGGTTCTGATATGGGCTGAGAGGCAATGATTGGCCCCAGGTCCCCTAAACTGGCTTCCATGCCCATGGATCTCCTAGTCCCCAACCTTATGTACAGATAAGTCTTCAACTTACGACTAGTTGTTCAGTGACTGTCTGAAGTTATGGCAGATGCCAAAAAAGAGACCTAGAAGCTGGTTTTGACGTTCCAACATCTGCCTCAGCGTGGTGACATGCGTGCGCGGCCACTCACAACACCCTGCAGCCATGTGGCCATGAATTATGGTGTATTTTGCAAGAATCAGCTTTTCTTTCTAGCTCCCTACAAAAAAAACCGTACCAAACTAGAGGTTCAGTACAGTGATTGATAGCTGTAATTGTGTGGTTCAGTTGCGATTATAACTGTCAGAATA